GGCTGAAAAATATTTCATTGCATGGATAGACACATTTTGTTTACTCATTCATCCATTAATGGATATCTGAGTTTTTCCACTTTCTGGCTACTGTGAAGAGTGCTTCTGTGAACATTCATGTACAATCTTTTGTGTGGACATATGCTTTCGATTCTCTTGGGTATATACCTAGGAGTGGAATTCCTGGGTCCTATGGTAACTCTACATTTAAATATTCTCAAAAACTACCAGACCATTTTCCAAAGCAGCCACTGTTATGGGTTGAATTGCGTTCTCCCAAAATTCATAAGTTGAAATCCTCACCCCCAGTACCTCGGAATGTGATTGTATTTGGAGATAAGGCCTTTAAAGAGGTAATTAACTAAAATGAGGTCATGTGGGTAGCTCCAAATCCAATATGACCGGTGTCTTTATAAGTGGAGATTAGTATACAAACTTGTACAAGGGAAGACCATGTGAAGACACAGGGAAAAGATACCATCTTCAAGCCATGGAGAGAGACCCTGGAAGAAATCAAACCTGCCGACACCTTGATCTTGGACTTCTAGCCTCCAAAACTATAATAAAGTAAATTTCTGTTGTTGAAATCACTCTGTGATTTCAGTCTGTGATACTTTGTTATGGCAGCTCTACCAAACTAATACAGACACCTGGTTAAATTTAATTTCACATAAACAATGAATGTTTTTTCAGTATATGTCCTGTGCAATAATTGGGACATAGATATGCTAAAAAGCTATGTGTTATTTATCTGAAATTCTAATTTAACTGGATGTTGTGTGTTTTATCTGACAACCCTACAATAAATGGACTTCATCTGGAGCTTGCATACCCCAGGTGATGGTAAGCTCACACCCTACCATGGCCAACTTTCTGTCTCTGGCTAGTTCTGCCTAAAAGTTCTGTAATCCAGGCTGGGGTGGACATGTGACCTAGAGTCCTTATCCATCTCAGTCACTGTGATTGGTTCAAGATGGAGATGTGACTCAAGCTCAGCCAATCAGAGTCTTCCCTGGGACTTTGGCTGGAACCCTGAGGAAAGAGAGGTTCCCTGTACCAGAGGTGGTTGGGCTGGAGAGATGGGGAGCTGCTGGAGGGGAAGCCACCAGAGAGGTCTCAAATGCCCATGATCTATCTGGAGAACTTCTTCCCAGAACCCCTTCCCAGATGACCTCTTCAAAGGGCAACAGGGAGCATTTATTGACTGACCGACTGGAGGACTGACTGAATGCAATTTTTCCACGGTGAACACCTATCCTTCAAAATCCACTTCAAATTCTCTTTGAGAAGCATCAGAGAACATTTATTGAATGAATAGATTTTTTTTCTTGCAAACTTCTACACATCCATCAAAACCCTCCTAAAATATCTCCATGAAGAGTATCAGGGAGTATAATCAGGGAGTGAATGAATGAGTTCTTTTCTTGGTAACCTATGTATTCTTTTTTTAAAAAATAAATATATGTACTTATTTACTTTTAAATTTTTATTTATTTATTTTTGGCTGCGTTGGGTCTTCGTTACGGTGCACGGGCTTCTCATTGCGGTGGCTTCTCGTTGTGGAGCACGGGCTTCAGTAGTTGTGACACGCAGGCTCAGTAGTTGTGGCTCGCGGGCTCTAGGGTGCATGCTCAGTGGTTGTTCCACACAGGCTTAGTTGCTCTGGGACATGTGGGATCTTCCTGGGCCAGGGACCGAACCTGTGTCCCCTGCATTGGCAGGTGGATTCTTAACCACTGCACCACCAGGGAAGTCCCACCTATGTGTTCTTTTTTTGGGGGGTGGGGGTGGGGCCCCACACTGCACGGCATGCAGGATCTTAGTTCCCCGACCAGGGATTGAGCACCTGCCCCCTGCAGTGGAGGTGCGGAGTCTTAACCACTGGACCGCCAGGGAAGTTCCCCTATGTATTCTTTTTTAAAAAATTGAATTATAGGGCTTCCCTGGTGGCCCAGTTGTTGAGTCCACCTGCCGATGCAGGGGACACGGGTTCGTGCCCCGGTCTGGGAAGATCCCACATGCCGCGGAGTGGCTAGGTCCATGAGCCACGGCCGCTGAGCCTGTGTGTCTGGAGACTGCTCCGCAACGGGAGAGGCCACAACAGTGAGAGGCCCGCGTACCGAAAAAAAAAAAAATTTGAATTATAATTGACCTACAACATTATGTTAGTTCCAAGTGCACAATATATTGATTTGATATTTCTATATCTTACAAAATTATCACCACTATGTATTCTTTAAAACATCCTCAATTGATCCTCTGGAGGCCTCAGGAAGTCCTGGTTGAGTGAATGAAAAATGTTCTTATTGGTGAGAAATGTTCTTATTAATAAATGTGTTTGTTAAATGAACTCATGGATTTCCTCCTTGCCAACTCCTACTCATCCTTCAAGATCCTCCTTAGATGCCCCTCAGGGGCACCAGGTCTCTTGACCACATGGAGAGAAGCTCAGCCCTTCTCGGGCTAAAGGTTACTACCCGTCCTTCCCCCAGAAGGCGGAAGCTGAGGGGGTGGGGAAGTTCTGTGGTTCTCCCCATTACGATTTCCTGGGGAGGAGGGCCTATGACCCTATCCTTCCTGCCTCCCCCTCCCCCCAGTTTGTGGGGCATCTGAAAGTGGAACAGCTCTGGGGACATATCCCAGGTGTGCTTCTGGGGCAGCTGGGAGGGCTTCCTGGAGTAGGTGGCAGGCAGGCCAAGAGAGGTGGTGGGTGTACAAAGATTTGGCACGGGGAAGGTGGGCTGCGGTGAACCTTAAGGTGAACTTCCAACTGTGACCTCAAAAAGGGTAGAAACAACACCTGACAAGTGGCTGGAATCCTTCTCACACTCCTGCCATAGCTCCTTGGGGAAAATCTCTTGGGAAAAAGTCCAGCCCTTCAGCCCAGCACTCAAGGCCCTGGCCCCCGCTACCATCTTCATCTCTCCCATGGACCCCCAGACCTGCCACGTTCATCTTGCTGTTCCCCAAATAATGTCCCCCGAGCTTTTCCCTCTTCTGTGACCTCTGCCGGGAATGCCCTTTAATTTTACAAAGCCAGTTCAAGACCTCCTTACTCTGGGCAGCCCTCCCTGGTCCCCTGCAGGGCCCCCTTAACCTCTGCCCCTCCCTGCACCCAGCCCCTGACCTCAAGGAGCTGGGGGCATCTGTGTCCAGCTCTGCCCCACCCCCCTTGATGTTTTTCCAGTGACTGCTCTAACTTTGGGGGGGATGGGAAAGAGGTGTGACAAGAGCAGAGGCCACTGCGAGCCCCCAAAGAATGACAAATCATAATGGCTGTCTGGTGGGCAGCAACCCTCTTTTATCCACACTCTAGCCCATTTGCAGATGGGGAAGCTGAGGCCTGGGAGGCCCAACTTTCGGGAGGGGGGTTGGTGGGATGTAGGGAGTAGCCCTGGGGCATGGGTCTTACTCTGGAAGGTGCAAAGCTCAGCCCCACTGTGGGGGGTGCCCTGCCTCAGGGTTTGCATCCATGTTTTCACCTCTAGCTGGGGCCCTGAGTGGTCTGGGTGTCTCTGGACTCAGTTTCTCCATCTGCAAAATGGGGCACCTGAGGTAGGGGTCTCAGGATCATTGAGAGGTGGGCCATGGGTTTACCCCTATCTCCAATGGTCCCTTCTATCTTTATGTTTCTCTCCATTTGTGTCTCTGTCTCTCTCTGTCTCTGACCCTCCCCCAGGCCTCAAACCTACTCTGCCCCCTGGCCTGGCCTGGGCCCTGCTGCCTGTGAAGACTGCTCTGTGCAGGGTCACAGGGTCCCCGTCCCCACTGTGCCAGGCCTGGAACACTGCCTCTTTGTTCTGATGGCTCTGACTTCATGGCCTGCTGGGCGCCTGACCCTGGCCAGCCCAGCTGCCCCTCAGGACTGGGTCTCAGAGAATGGGCTTCCTCCTGGCCTCTTGGGCCTCAGTTTCCCCAGATGCTCTCCCCCAGGAGAGACCCTTACCCTGTTCTTTGCCCACCTAGGCTCCGAGAACATTTTTTTTTAGGTGAAAATCACATAACATAAAATTAACCATTTTAATATATACAGTTCAGTGACATTTAGAATATTCACTATATGGTACAACAATTACGTCTGTCTAGTTCCAAAACATTTTCAGCACCCCAAAATGCAGCCCCATCCCCATGAGTAGTCACTCCCCATTCCCCTCCCCCAGCCCCTGGCAACCACGAATCTACCTTCTGTCTCTGTGGATTTGCCTGTTCCAGACATTTCATATACATAGAATCATACAACATATGGGCTGCTGTGTCTGACTTTTTTCACTCAGCCTGTTGTTTTAGGGGTTCATCCACTTGGTAGCATGAATCAGCTCTTCTCCATGGACATTTTGGGCCTTTGTTGACAGTGCAGAGAGAGGGTCAGAAACTGAGACAACCCCCCTCCCCCGCCTCCCCACCTCTCCACCTCTGGCTGAGAAAAAGACAGAGAAAAGACAAGGTTGAGTCTAAAGGAAGCAAGGAGACTCTTCCAGACCTGGAAACCAGGGTGCCCTGAGGCTGGAATTTGGGAAATGGGGAGGTGGACATTTTTGGAGGGCCCAGCCTACAGCAAGCACTTCATAACAATTTACTGGGAGAGTGAACTCTGACGTCTGAAGACCCTGGCCTCCCATTTAGCTCCTAAGTCTCAGAAGTGGACCAGAGAGGGCTGGAGACCTGGCCAAGGGCACAGAGCCTCAGGCCACCCATGGGGCTCTCACCCAGTGTCCAGCTTCAGTCTGGGGCCAGCAGAGAAGACCCTCCGGACCTGGGGCTCGGGGTCCAGGGCGCAGGTGTATTTGTGGTCTGAATGAGGCCACCACGCCTAAGCTGACTTCCTGGGTTTCTTTTTCACTTTGACTTGCCCTGGGAGGGGCCATGACATCTAACTTTTTTTTTTTCTTTTTAGTTTTTCTTGCTAAGCTTTAATGTGTTCCTGGGTGAGGACTGGGTGGCTGGGGCCTCTCCAGCAGCACAGAAGCTCGTCTGGGACTGCCGCCCTCTTCGAGGACCTAATGGGGCAGTGGGTGACCAGGCTTGTCCCCCTCTTTCTCCTCCTGCTACCCCGGCAAGGCGGTGAGTCCCCTACCCTGGAGTCACAGCTCTTCTTGCCGGGGCGGGTGGCTGTGTGTGTATATGTGGAGGGCTGTGGACCCGGTTCCCAGGGTTGTTTCTGTGTCTCTGGGCCTCAGTCTTTCCCTCTGTCAAATGTGAGCTGGATGATCATGGATTCTGATGTCAGACTTGGGCATCTCCCCTCTGGTCTTGATTTTGTCTTCTGTGGGGTGGGCTGAAGCTCTGAATCTTTCCCACATCCCAGAGTTTAATGAGAAATAGCTAAGGAAGGGATAAAGACCAAGTATATATATTATATATATATAATATAGTGTTATGTACCCAGTGTATGTAATATACACACTCTCCATCTTGTGGAATCGAATGGGAAGGGACCCAGCCCCCAGAGGATGACTAGGTTTGGACTCTCATCCCAGCTCTGCTGTTGCATGACCTCGGGCAACTTCTTTGTGCCTCAGTTTCCCTCTCTGTAAACTGGAGATCAGCAAGGTTTCAGGGCTTTTAGAGGTCAGACAGGGCTGGAGACCAGCAAAAGGGAGAGGTACAGGGGACCCTGGATTGCTTTAGAGGAGCGGCCCGAGAGCTGGATGGGTGGGTGGATGGATGGATGGGTGGACGTATGGGTAGATGAGTGGATGGATGGGTGGGTGGGTGGGTGGAAAGATGGATGGCTGAATAGATGAGTGGATGGGTGGATGGATGGATGGATGGATGGATGGATGGATGGATGGATGGATAGAAAGGTGGATGCGTGGGTGGGTGCAAGGATGGGAAAGTGGGCAGGTGCATGGATGGTCACTGGGCAAGCCCCCCTCCCCTGCAGTGAAAGGCTGAGACTGTCATTATCTCTTCATTGCCTTTGCAGCTGAGGCCTGTGGCACCATGGGGTGCTGTTTTCAGGATCCACCGTATCCGGATGCAGACTCAGGTCTGGGGCAGTTCCCCATCGTGGGAGGAAGGGGTTGTAATGGGCTCTGACTGACCCATCCCGAGCAGCCACTCCTTCAGCTCCCTCCTGCCCAGCCAAAGACTGGGGTCTCAGGAGCCCCAACCCGACAGCCTGATGGCCTGTCCTCACCAAACTCAGGTGTCCTGGAGCAGTCTCCTCTGTAAGCCTCATCTACTCCGTAACAGGGTCGCAGGACTGGTGTCTGTGTCCATCCTGATTGGTCAGCATGTGGGGCTAAGCAGCTGTTAAACATTTTGAAGTTGCTTGGAATCAAGCATTGCTGAAACATTCATGCTTGTAACAAACTCACTAAATCTGCCACTGGGCAAGGCGTTTCATCTATTCTTTTGTTCCAGAAATATTTACCAAGCACGTACTACGTGCAGACACAGTTCTAGACATAAAGGAATCAGCTGCGAGCCCAGCTGTCCTCCTGGGGTCACAGCCTAGTGCAGGAGGTGGACAAGAGGCACACAAATGCATATCCTGCATACAATGACGTGCTAGGAATAAAAAAACAGAGCAGGGTGAGGGATGGAGAGGGAGGGGGCTGCTTCAAATAGCCTAGTGCTTGAGGAGGTGACACTGAAGGAGAAATTGGAATGTCAAGATCTGGACCAAGGACATTTCAGGCAGAGGGCATAGCACATGCAAAGGTCCTGAGGTAGGAGTGAGCCTGGTGTGTTTGAGGACCAGTGAAGAGGCTGAAGTGGCTGGAGGACGAGGTGCAAGGGAGATGGCAGGAGACAGGCGGGAAGGGCACAGGAAGGTGCTGGAAGTCACAGCGTGTTTAGGCTGAGGTGACACCGGATTGCATAAGTGTCACAAAGATTCCTCTCTGGGGTGTGTCAGTTTGGGGACCCCGCCCCCCCACACTCTAATCTGTTCTCAAACCTCCAGGCTTAGCTTCGGGCCCCCGGGACCTAAACTGCTACCGGATACTCAGCAACGCTGGTTATGAATGTTCCTGGGAATATGAGGGCCCCGCAGCTGGGGTCAGCCACTTCCTGAGATGCTGGTGAGGATCCTGCCTTTGCTCCTGACCCCCTGCCTCTACTCTCAGATGTATGAGCTCGGCAGTGTCTTTGCCTCTTCCAGGGCCTCAGTTTCTCATGTCAGAAGGGAGGGCTGGAGATCTGTGTTGTGGGGTCAGCGTGGGTGGGTATCCAGTTTGGGCAGCAATTAGGATCCCTGTGGTCCTTCTTTCATCCTCACCCTGTGACTTATTCATCCATCTATTCATTTCTTCCTTCTCTCTGTGGCAGCCCATGTTAGGAGATTCTGGGATCCTCCAAACCCCTTAGTCCTAAGTTGATCCCTAAGAAACCCCCAGGCTGGGGAGCGGGGGTAAAAGGGGAAGAAAAGGATCCTGGGATGTGATGCACATCATCTGCTGTGGCCGCTGAGACTCAGTGCCAATACCCTCCTTCCTGCAGCCTCAAGCCTGGGCGCTGTTGCTACTTTGCTGCAGGCTCAGCCACCAAGCTGCAGTTCTCCGACCAGGATGGCATATCCGTGCTCCACGCTGTCACTCTCTGGGTGGAATCCCGGGCTGCCAACTGGACAGAGAAGTCCCCCAACATTACCCTGAACCTCTACAGCTCAGGTCAGCACCCTGTTCTCTTCCTCTCCACTACCGCCTCCTCACCCAGAGAAGCCTCTGGTCCCCAAGCCTAGACCTGAGGGAATTCTGGGTCCCTGGCAAGGGGCTGAATACTGCTAGCTATTTTTACAACCAACTCTGTCATGTAACCTGGCAGAGTCTTCCATGGTCCCCTAACGGATCCGCTACTGATGAACATGTAGGTAGCTTCCGGTTTCTCCTTGATACTATAATGTGGCCAAGACCCTGTTGGGTCTTATAATTTTTTTTTTTTTTTTTGCTGCATTGGGTCGTCATTGCTGTGTGTGGGCTTCCTCTAGTTGCAGAGCATGGGGGCTACTCTTCGTTGCGATGCTCTGACTGCTCATTGAGGTGGCTTCTCTTGTTGCGGAGCACGGGCTCCAGGTGCGCAGGCTTGAGTAGTTACAGCACACGGGCTCAGCAGTTGTGGCTCACGGGCTCTAGAACACAGGCTCAGTAGTTGTGGCACATGGGCTTAGTTGCTCCATGGTATGTGGGATCTTCCCGGGCCAGGGATCGGACCCGTGTCCCCTGCATTGGCAGGCGGATTCTTTTTTCTTTCTTTTTTTTTTTTTTTTTTTTTTTTTTTTTTTGCGGTACGCGGGCCTCTCACCGCTGTGGCCTCTCCCGCCGTGGAGCACAGGCTCCGGATGCTCAGGCCCAGCGGCCATGGCTCACGGGCCCAGCCGCTCCGCGGCATGTGGGATCCTCCCGGACCAGGGCCCGAACCCGTGTCCCCTGCATCGGCAGGCGGACTCTCAACCATTGTGCCACCAGGGCAGCCCTGGCAGGCGGATTCTTAACCACTGTGTCACCAGGGAAGTCCCCCGTGTTCGGTCTTTAAAATCTGTTTTCATGAATCAATAACACATACTTAGTTTATACTCGTTGAACTGCTACTGTGTGCCATGCTCAATCATGGGGGACATGGGCAAGGCCAATGGAGGTCACAGCACAGGGCTGGGACAAGGGTGAGATGAATGAGGCACTCCTTGGCCACAAAATGTTATGGGGGTGCCAAAAAATCTAAGTAGTCATTATAAACCATATCATGAAGCAACTTTTCTTTTTTAATATTTATTTACTTGGCTGTGCCGGCTCTTAATTGTGGCACGCAGGATCTTTGTTACCACATGAGGATTCTTTGTTGAAGCATGCAGGATCTTTTAGTTGCAGCATGCATGTGGGATCTAGTTCCCTGACCAGGGATCGAACCCAGGTCCCCTACATTGGGAGTGCGGAGTATTGACCACTGGACCACCAGGGAAGTCCCATGATGCAACATTTTAAAAAAAATCAATATTAATGCCCCCCCAAAAAAGCCATGACAAATCAAATATCAGATTTTTTTTTTTTTTTTTGCCGCACTGCACAGCACGCAGGATCTTATTTCCCCGACCAGGGATCGAACCCACACCCCCTACAGTGGAAGTGCAGGACCCTAACCACTGGACTGCCAGGGAATTCCCCAGAACTTCAAATAAAGGCAGGATCTGACCCTGTATTTGTACAACCTTGCCTCACTCTCCTCACCCCAATCTCAGCCCTGTCCCTGCCTTCATGGAGCCCAGATTCATGTAGGGTGATGGACAAGGCATGATCGTTACACGTGATGAGATACTGCTGGGAGGTCAGGGAGGGCTCTAGCTCAAGGATGAAAAAGATCCAGTAGGAATAAAGATGGGGAAGTGTGGATACAGCAAAACAGAGGATACAGCAAGTGCAAAGACCCTGAGCTAGAATCAGGCACAGTATAACCGAGATGCAGAAAGCATGATAGATGTCTCTCCTCAGGCCAGCCTCCTTGAAGTGGGGTTAAAAAGTTAGTAAGATTTCCCTAATAGTCCTTCAGAAAAAAGTAGAATCAGTTAATTATCCTCTCATCAGTAATTTACAAAAGTGTCTGTCTCACCACAGCCTTGCCAGCAATGAGTATTAATATTTTAAAGACACCTTTACTAATAGGATCCTGGGTATAAATCTTAACTCTTTGACCCATAGAACCCCAGGCTTAGATGGGACCTGTAGAGGTGTCCCTGATTCAAATTTTGGGAGCTTGGTGGTTTACTATGGGCCAGGAGGATCATGGGAAGATTTTCCAGAATTTTCAGGACCAACAGCTCACACCCATGCTGGCTTCCCCTTCCCAACCCCCAACTCTGCTTCCAGTTAAATACGACCCTCCCCCAGGAAACATCAAGGTGTCCAGGTCAGCGGGGCAGCTGCTCATGGAGTGGGAGACCCCAGACCACCAGGATGGTGCTGAGGTGCAGTTCCGGCACCGGACACCTGGCAGCCCGTGGAAGTGGGTGAGTTTATTCCCCAGATCAGGGGTTTGCACAGGCAAAGAGCACCCTCACACCTCTCCCGTCAGTTTTGCAATCTCTGTATCTATCACCCTTCCCACCTGGCCTCCACTCTTGCCCCATGTTTAGCCTCTGGGTCTCTCTGACATAAAGATCTGATTGTGATCTCCCTTGCTCACACACCCTCCATGGCTCCCCACTACCCTCAGTAAGTCATCCTTATCTTCAGCTGGCCCGAGTTTCCCTCACTTGCCTCATGCTTCCTCTGGCCCCTTTTTGAATGGCCATCATTCTTTGCCTATGCCCTGGATTTCCAGCCCCTTTGCCTTGGTATATGCAGTTCCTTCCACCTGCATGCCCTCCTCTGTATCTGAGCACATGTGAATCCAACCCACCTTCAGGGTCCAGCTCAAAGGATACCTCTTCCAGGAAACTACCTTTCCGCCATTCCTCCCTCCCTCCCTCCCTCCCTCCTTTCCCTTTTTTTTTTTTTTTAAGCCGTGCTGTGTGGCATGTGGGGTCTTAGATCCTCGACCAGGGACTGAACCCTTGCCCACTGCATTGGGAGCACAGAGTCTTAACTGGACTGCCAGAGAAGTCCCTCCTTTTTAAAATTCAGATGTAACTGACATATAAAATTATATTAGTTTCAAGTGTACAACATGATTTGATATTTGTATACATTGTGAAATCATCACCACAATAAATCTGTTTAACATCCGTCACGACACAGGCATGTTCCAGATTTTGCTTCTTGTAATGAGAACTTTTAAGATTTACTCTCTTAACAACTTTCAGACAATACAGTTCAGTATTGTTAACTATAGTCACCATGCTGTACATTACATCCCCAGGACTTATTTATTTTATATTGATAACTTTGTACCTTTTGACCACCTTCACCTGTTTCGCCCACATGCTACCCCTCACCTCAGGCAACCACTACTCTGTTCTCTGTATCTATGAGTTTGGTTTTTTGTTTGTTTTAAATTCACTTGTAAGTGAGATCACACAGTATTTGTCTTTCTCTGTCAGACTTATTTCACTCAACATAATGCCGTCAAGGACTATCCATTTTGCAAATGGCAGGATTTCCTTCTTTTTATGGCGAAATAATATTCCATTGATACATGTACCACATTTTCTTTATCCATTCATCCATCGATGGACGCTAAGATTGCTTTCACATCTTAGCTGCTGTAAATAATGCTGCAGTGAACATGAAGGTGCATGTATCTTTTCCAATTAGTGTTTTGCTTTTCTTTGGATAAATACTCAGAAGTGGTATTGCTGGATGATATGGTAGCTCTATTTTTAATATTTTGAGGAACTTGCACTCTGTTTTCCATAGTGGCTGCTGCAATTTACATCCCCACCAACAGTGCACAGGGTTCCCTTTTCTCCACATCCTCGCCAACAATTGTTATCTCTTGTCTTTTTGATGATAACCATTCTGACAGGTGTGAGGTGAGATCTCATTGTGGTTTTGATCTGCATTTCCCTGATGATTAGTGATGTTGAACACATTTTCATGTACCTGTTGGCCATCTGTATGTCTTCTTTGGACCTTCATTCATGCTTCAGCTACTCTATTCTCCCCTCTGTCCCCTGCAGGCAGGGCAAGCCTAGGCTTGCAAGAAACCTCAGCCCTGACCAAGTCCCCAGGAGTCCCTAGTTTGGGAGAGACAGAGACCCCCCTAGCTTCTGAATTGTGGTATCTCCCCCTCCCTCAGCCTGGGAGCATCTTGAGTCCAGGGAGTTGCCTCAGTTTGGGCCCCATCTTCCCTCCAAATGTTGTGCCCCTCCCTGAGCCTCAGTTTTCCCATCAAGTGAATGGGTTCGGATCAGTCAGAGGCAGGTGACATGGGACTCCTGTTGGGGAGGGGCTTCTCTTTACTTTTTATCTCCAGCCCCCTAACACACTCTGCAGTGGACCCTCTCAGCCCCCCTTTGCAGATGAGGAAACTGAGGCTCAGGATGTCCAGGGGCCTCTCAGCATCAGCTGGGGAGTGTGGGGCTAGCTGGGTCCTAAACTTGCCTCTCCTCATCCATGACACCACAAACAGATAGGTTTTGTCTCTTAAAATATTTTTTTAGGAAATTATAAAAATATAATTTTGCCTCCTAAAATAATGATTTTATTTTATTTTTTAATTTTTGGCCTCGACACACGGCTTGTGGGATCTTAGTTCTCTGACCAGGGATTGAACCCGGGCCCTGGAAGTGAAAGTCCTAACCACTGGACTGCAAGGAAATTCCTCCAAATAATTCTTTAAAAAAAAAAAAACTTTTTTATTTTGGAATAATCTTAGATTTTCAGAAAAGTTACAAAGAAGCACATAGAGCCTTCACCCAGCTTCCCCACAGGTTAATGGCTTTCGTTCCCAAGTCTGTCTGTCACTGGTCTCTTGCTATAAACTAAACTCCAGAGTTTATTTGGATTATCACCCGCTTTTCCAAGAATGTCCTCTTTCTGTTCTCAGATCCAATCCAGGGTTCCATGTTGCATCTAGCAAACTAATTGTTGAAAATTTCAAAAGAGCTAGAATTTTCAACACCCAAATGTAAAACAATGTATAACTGTGGTCTTGTTTTAGGGCGACTGTGGACGTCAGGATGATGCTGGCTTCGGTGAGAATAATAGTGACAATGACAGCGGTAGCAAGTTAGCATTAATTTGGCACCCACTGTGCGCTAGACCCAGTGCTAAATTCTCTGTAGGCTTGTTTGTGCCTCCCTGTAGTTCAGTATTGGATTATTCCCATTTCACAGGTGAGGAAACAAAGGCTTGGGCTTGTGAAGCCTTTGGCCAAGTTCACATCCCTAGTAGGTGGCCTTGCTGAGACTCGAGTTCCAGACAGTAGAAGAAGTGGGTGATCCTTGAGGCCCCAAGAGCACAGCACCTGGCCTATTCTGGCTGTGTCCCCAGGGTCCGGCACATGATTAGCTCTCAATAAGTGCTTGTACACAGTTGGCACTCAATAAGTGCATGTGCACAGTTGGAGCTTAATATGTGCATGATGGCTAAGTGACCAGTGCCAAGCCTTGGGCGCTCCCGGCTTTGGGACAGCCCCTTTGCTTGATGTTTGATCTGCTTCTTCCCAGAGTCATGCCTCTGCCCCTTGGAGATGGACGCGGTACAGGAATTCCAGCTGCGGCGACGGCTGAGGCCAGGGGTCCCCAGAGGTCCCTGGAGCAGCTGGAGCAGCCCTGTGTGCATCCCCCCCGGTGAGAGCACCCTGGACCACAGGAAGGGAGACAGGCGTTAGAAAGATGGTAGTAGTATTAGAAATAAGGTGGTGAGTGTTAGCAATAAGGTGATGGATGTTAGAAATAAGGCTGCCGAAGAAATTAGGGAAAATTAGTGCAAGGTGGCAGGGCAGTGGGCAAGTTTCACTTTGTAAAATGTAGCAAATCCGTAATAAAAAGAAAACATTTATCAGTCTTTCTCTCCTTCCAATTAGTTTGGTGGGTTTTGTTCTTTGAAAGCCGAACAAGGAGTTGATGGGTGCAAGTGGCGGTGTCGTGAAGGCAGATTTTCCCAAATGACACAGGAAGCTGGAACCAGGGCAGCTCCAGAGTGGAGACGTGGCCCGAGGTGGGGGTGGGAGGGAGAGATGGGGGGGTGACTGTCAACATTTGTCCCCCTACCCTTTGAGCTGAAGCTTCCTCCTGCCCACCCAAGTGCGTATCTGCTGGGAAACAACTCCAACGGCTGTTTTCAGATTTTTTTTTAAATTGTAGTAAAAAAAGACATAATATAAAATTTGCCATTTTAACCATTTTTAGGCAGTTGCATTAAGTATATTCACACTATCGTGGAGTGGATCTCCATGTTTGCAGATTTTGAAAACTACTTAATGACCCATAGAATCCTGTGTTTCATGGGAGGGAAGGAAAAGGTCCCGGGACCCAATCCAGGGTCTGCAGAACGTTGTGAGCAAGGGCCCCACCCCCAGTGTCACTGTCTTGCTGTCTCATTGCAGAAACCCCCCCACAGGCCAAGGTGAGGTTCTCGGTGGAGCAGCTCGGCCCGGGTGGGAGGAGGAAGGTCACCTTGCATGAGCAGGTAATGGGACCATCACAGGCTTGTGGGGTGGCCTGAGGACAGAGAGAAGGAGACAAGAGGCTGGAGTGGAAGTGCTTAAAAGGAGGGAGATGAGCCGTGGAGGTGGTAGGGACTGGAAGGACTGTGGGTTGAACTCTGAAGGTAATGGGGAGCCATGGAGGGTGTGTGAGCAGAGGAAGGATATGGCTGGACTCAGGTGTTCACAGGCTCCCTCTGGCAGCCATTGGGGGAGCAGATTTTGGGGGGCTCACGTGGAAGCTGGAAGGCCAGGAAGGGGTTGACTGTGCTGGTCTGGATGGGAGATGATTTTTTTGAAGTCCCCCAAACAACTCATTAAGTACAGTCGAATGAACCCATTTTCCAGAGGAGGAAACTGAGGCGCAGAGGGGAAATCCCCTGCCTGAGTTGGGGCAAACTCACCATACATTTCAACCCCTGGCTTCACCATAATTGATTCCGCCAGGTCCCCAATGGGCTGGCACTATAAAGCTGTAGTGAAGCTCCTTCTCGTCCTAGGTTTCTTATAATTTGAATTTCTTCTCTCAGGAAAAATGTCCAGGCTCGAAGTAACTGGGTCCAAAGACGGAAACATTTTTTTCCTCTGGCTTTCAGTGGGTTTTGCCAAATTATTTTCCCCTCCCCCTAAACCAATGAGCAGTGGATGTGTCAGTTTCCCAGCAGCCTTGCCAGCACTGAGGTTTACTATTTTTAAAAAATTTTCATACATGTCATCAGCTGTGGCCCGTGGATGAGCCTGTGCTCGTGGGCAGCATCCTGATGTCAACCCACGGGGACGACGTGCATGTTCAGGTCCCCACAAACCATCTCTCACACTCACAACAGCTGCCCCAGCTGGAGCTTCCGGAAGGCTGCCTCGGGCCCGACTCAGGCATGGAGGTGACCTACCATGTCCACCTGCATATGCTGTCCTGCCCATGTAAAGCCAAGGCCACGAGGACTCTGCCCCTGCGGAAAAAGCTCAGCCTCTCGGGTGCCGCCTATGACCTGGTTGTCGTTTCCCGGAATCGCTTTGGCCTCGGTCCCAACCAGACATGGCACATTCCTGCCTATATCCACTCAGGTGCCTTTGGCTGGGCAGTGGGGGGACCCCTTGGAGCTGAGCACGTACTCGAGCCTCAGCTAGACTAGGGTGAAGCGAGGCACAAAAATGTAATGTGGTGTCTAATTTAGGAGTGTGTAAAGTCAGTATTCAAAATGCATAGCATTAAAAAATGCATAGCGCTATAGTGTAATAGTTTAAAAATTTCTCACTGGCAAACTGTGGCCCAGGCCAAACACTTGTTTTTGTAAATAAAGTTTTATTGGGACCAGGGCCAAGATCAGGGTGTGGCAAGCAAGGCAGGGTCGTGCAAATACAGGGTTGATCCTGTCTTTATTTAAAATCTAGACATTTTGCTCATTTTATATACATGTATACATATGTTAAATATATACATATATTTATACACAATGAAAAAATCAATGGTGATGATGTGGATAAAAGGGAACCTTCATACACTGTTGGCAGGAATGTAAATTGGTGCAGCCACTATGGAAAACAGTATGGAGATTCCTCAGAAAATTAAGACTAGAACTACCATATGATCCAGCAATTCCACTTCTGGGTATTTATCCAAAGAAAAAGAAAACATAATTGGAAAAAATATATGCACCCCTATGTTCATTGCAGCGTTATTCACAATAGCCAAGATATGGAAACAACCTAAGTGCCCATCAATGGATGAATGGACAAAAAAGATGTGGTGCATGTATACAATGGAATACTACTCAGCCATAAAGAAGAATGAAATGCTGCCATTTGTGACAACATGCGTGGACCCTGAGGATATTATGCTTAGTGAAACAATTCAGCTGGAGAAAGACAAATACCCTATGATTTCACTCAGATGTGAAATATAAAAACCAACCAACCAACCAAACAAACAAACAACTGACTGACTAAATAGATGGACAAACCAAAACTAATACATAGATATAGAGAACAGATTAGTGATTACCAGAGGGGAAGAGGCAGGGGGAGGGGAGAGGTAAAGGGGATCAACTGCATGGTGACAGATGGAAACTAAATTTTTCATGTTGAGCACACAGTAGGGTATTCAGAAGTCAAAATATAATATTGTGCACATGAAACATTTTTATTATTATAATATTATAAACCAGTGTTACCTCAAAAAAATAAATCTAAAATTTAAAAATTAAGGTTTATATGTATGTATATAAACATATGTATTTTATTGAGGTAAAGTTCACATATCAAAATGAACCATTTTAACAAGTACAATTTGGTGCCTTAATTACATTCACAATGTTGTGCAATCATCACCTCTGTCTAGTTCCAGAACCTTTTCATCACACCCAAAAGGAGACCCTGTCCCCCTTAGCAGTCACTCCCCCTCCCCCTCCCCAAGCCCCTGACAATCACCAATCTGCTTTCTGTCTCTGTGGATTTGCCTGCTCTGGGCATTTCATAGAATTAATCATATACTATGTGACCTTTTGTGGCTGGCTTCTTTCACAGCCTGATATCTTCAAGATTCATCCACATTGTAGCATGCATCAGTGCTTCATTCCTTTTTATGGCTGAGTAATATTCCACTGTGTGAATGGTCCACATTTTGTTTACCTGTTTTTCCACTGATGGACATTTGAGCTGTTTTCATTGTTTGGCAACCGTGAATAGTACTCAGTACATATTTTTAGGTTCATTTTGATTTTTTAAAAAATACTGCATTAGAAGAGTGTTGATCTTGGTGATTGAGTTCCTTGGCGCCTCCTTAATTTCATGCCCAAGATAAGTGCCCTGCTCGCTTCACCTTAGTCCTGATCCTGCTGAGCACCCAGCTGGGCTGTTAGGATGATGCCCATTTCAGAGATGAGATGACTGAGGCTCAGACAGATGAAGCCACTTGCAAGGGTGACACAGCAGCAAGTCTGTCAGCTCCTGGTCTGCTTTGAGCCATGGCCTCGCTACGTGACCTTGGGCTGGTGGCTCTCCGGCTTCGAGCCTCAGTTTTTATATCATTGGGATAATCATGGTCCCACTTTGTGGGAAAGTGGCGCCTGTAAAACGCTCAGCACTGGCCTGGCGCATACAGTCGGAACTCAATAAATGATAGCTATTGTCCCTAGAATTGGAAGCAATACCCACCTCTCAGGTTGGTACAGGTGGCCTTGCTGTAGGGAGTGGAGAGATGAGCCCAGGGGGCTGAGTGGGTCTGTCCTCGGGGCTTTGAGCTCTGGTCCAGCCGGGAGGCTCCTCCTCCACCACAGCCACCCACCGCTGGGCAAGGTGGGTGGTGGGTGGCCAGGCATCTGCTGGACCAGGAGATGCCCACTAGCCTGACAGGGTAGTAGCGGCAGCATAGGGAGCACTGACTGTGGGCATCCTGGCAGGGAACCCACAGTCAGGCTGGGGGAGGACTCGATTCATTCAAACAGCCCCTGCTGTCCCCTCTGTGCTCAGCCCCCATCCTGGCAGCCCCCAGTGCAGGGAGACAGAGCCAGGTACAGACACTCCTGGCCCTGGGGGGTTAGAGCTTGTCAAGAGGGTGGGATGGGGCTATAGGAGCCTTGGGTTGCGGGGAGCATGAGGCAGCTATTCTGATGTGCCTCTCTTGTCTTCTTCCAGAACCAGGGGTTCTGAATATCAGTACCAGAGCCAACAGGACCACCATGCATTGGCCAGCCCGGGCCCAGGGCATGACATACTGCATTGAGTGGCAGCCCCAGGGCCAGGACGAGAGCCTTGCCACCTGCACCCTGACGGCACCCCAGGACCGGGACCCTGATGGAATGGGTACCGTAATATTGGTTGCCCTGCATCCTCCATTGGAGCTCCTGGTCAGCTCAAACCTACAGTCATCATCCTTGTGGGATGTCTGAGGCCCAGAGAGGTCTTGCCACTTGTGCAAGGTCACACAGAGGTGGGGACAGGCCAAGACAGACTCTTCCACTCATGCAGGTCTGGAGCTTCCTGCTGGGATCCTGGGGTGTCAGGGTTCAGCCCTGGGAAAGTTGCACCCCAGCAGGTAATGAGTCTCACGTCCCAGGGTGTTTGTTAAACATTCACCCGTGCCAGGAAAGGTAGCAGCTAGCAAGATGCAGGTGGTAAATTAATGAGGCCTCTGGAGGGAAAGGGAGGGTGCCAAATGGCCCAAGCAGCCTCTCACTCTCTGACGTGGTCTTGGCCGGGGCCCCAGGAAGCCTCAGCCTCAGCCTGGCCCTCAAAGAGCTCCCAGCCAGGGGAGACAGAGCTGGATGCAGACACCCCAGCGCCATAGAGTAGGAGCTGTGCTGGAGGGGGTGAGGACAGGTTGGGAAGGGGTGGGAAAGGGCATGAGGATGGAATCCTGGAGGAGGGGACATTGGTGCAAGGGCTTTAAAGCATGGGTAGGAGTGCTCTAAGATTTCCTGGCAGATGGCACAAGTGCGGAGGTGGGGACACAATCTATTTACTGGTCTGACCCTTGCTAATCCTTCTAGCAACGCACAGCTTGAGCCAAGCATCTGGGGCAATGCGGCAGAAGGAGTGTTACCGCATCACTATCTTTGCCTCGGCACACCCGGAGAAGCCCACCTCGTGGTCCACCGTCTTGTCCACCTACCACTTTGGAGGCAATGGTGAGTGGCCCAAACCTGCAGGGTGGTCTACCCAGGGGACTCGGCAGTGTCCTTGGGTATCAGGAAGGGGGAATACCATTTAGAGGCACCTACTGCATATCAGGCCCTGGCCAGAAGCCAGACACATAGAGGTCAGCTCAGTCAACTCTTAAGATACCCCAAGAGGTATTGCACCATTATATAGTAAGAAAACTGAGGCTCAGAGAGGGGAAGTGATGACACCAAGAGTGGTGGAACTGGCACAGCTGACTCTGTGGCCAAGGTTCCCTGGGTCTCCGGACAGTAGCAGGCTGGGCAGGCAGGAAGTACTCAACCAGCACCCTTGGAGCTGACCGTGGTAAAGGATGTTGGTTGCAGCCTCAGAGGCCGGGAGCCCACAACATGTGTCTGTAAAGAAACTCAGCCAGGATTCAGTGTCTGTGGACTGGACACCATCTCTGCTGAGCACCTGCCCCGGCGTCCTGAAGGAGTACGTTGTGCGCTGCCAGGATGAGGCCAGCAGCCAAGTATCCGGTACGTGAGGCAGCACAGGCCTGGCTGGGGGAGGAAGGGCTCTGGGCTTGAGTTCTGCCTTGCTGTGTGACCCTGGGCACCTCACTGTCCCTCTCTGGGCTTTGGTTTTCACACCCATGGAACAATAGAGTTGGACTCAAGGGTCTTGACTGGCCCTTTAGATGGCAACTCCCATGGAGCGGGGATGACTGTCTCCATTCTACAGATGGGGAAACTGAGGCCTGGAGAGGGATCCACCTGCCCAAAGGTTAAACAAGCTTGGATTTGAGCGCAGTTAGGTGCCCCTTCCTGCCCCATAGAAGAGAAAGAAATGAGGATGTACAGGGCAGGTCTCACCAGGGCTGGAACTTCCTGTCATTTCCCACATTGGGAGCCTGTTCCTCCCCACTGGGTAACATAGCCTTGTGAGAATACAGCCTCGCCCATCCATCTCCTGCAGCAACAGGCCAGGCCGCCAAGACCGTGAGTTTATATCCTGCCTTCCCTCCTCGAGCCCAGCACAGGGGCAGGAGCGGGGTGGAGGGTGGAGGGTGGAGGTGGGTGGAACGGGGGCTGCTCTGGCATCAGACATAGACATTCTGCCATCAGCTTGGTCACCCTCCGTTGTTTAGAGGGGGTAAATGAGGCCAAATGGGAGTCGGTGACTTGTTCACAGTGGCACAGCTGGAAGCAGCCCATTTGCTGAAAACCAGTTTGCCAAAAGTCAAATTGCTGAAGGTTTATGCACCAAATGCCCATTTGGCCAAATGTACCAACTTCCCTGAAATCTCTTTTGAAGAATATTCCTCTTGAATATTTACAACGAATATGGATTTAGGGTTCTAGGAATTTTTCTTCTGTATGACAGCCAACAACTGTATTCTCATTTTAAAGAATTTTATGGGGTGCTTTATTTTTTAAAAGTCATCCAATTCCACAGACACTTGTTGAGATCCTACTTTGTGCTGAGGTGCTGGGGACACTCGGGGAACAACTTAGACAAAGTTAACCCTGACCTTGTCCCTAAAGATGAGAAAGAGGTGAGGGAGGAAACCATGTAGTTATCTGGCGAAAGGGTGAACCAGGCCAGCGAAACAGCCAGTGCAAAGGCCCTGAGGTTTGGGATTGAACCTGGTGCCTTTTAGGGAGCTCTGAGGAGAAGGCAGATGCGGCTGGAAAGGAGTGGGCTAGGAGCGAGTGAAGGGCAAATTGGTCAGAATTTGAGAAAAAACAGCATCATTCACTGAATATTTTGATGAAGAATATTTTCCAAATAAGTTTGACGTGAATGGGTGTATTTAGGGAAGATTATTCAGCAAAATGTCTGTGAGCCCCCACTCCCACCCCCAGGGTGGAGCCCAGAGTAAAGGGGGTTTAGGGGCCCACGGTGCCTCCCGCCCACAGAGCTGTCAGTGAACGCCACAGAGACCCAGATCACCCTCCAGGGCCTGCGGGCTGCCACAGCCTACAAGGTGCAGGTTCGAGCAGACACAGCCAAGTGGCGGGGCGCCTGGAGCCAGCCCCTGCGCTTCACCATCGGTGAGTGAGGGGGCGGGCCCGAGTACTTACCCAGCATGCACTGCCCCATCCCACATGTCGGCAAGCAGTCCCGCCCTGACCCTCCACCCTTCCATGGCTCCCCATGCATCCCTCTCAGGAGAAAGTCGCAGGCTGACGTGCTCCCAACTCCTTCACCTCTGCTGCAGCTTCCCCTCATGAACCTTCTCTTATGCTGGCTTTTCCTTGCAGGCCTCTCTGTCTGGAATGTTTGGTCTCCTTGTCAAACTCCTATTCATCCTTCAAAACTCAGCTCAAAAGCTCTCTCCTCCAGGAAGCCTTCCAGGCTTCCTTCTGGGCAACCCCCCCCACTGCCCCTCCTACCTGGCCTGACGCCTTGGGAGTGTGTGTGGGTGTCTGTGTGGGCTCTGCCTCCCCCAGCCTTGGGGCTCCTGGGGAGAGGAAGGGAGCAGGGGGGCTATTTATTGAGTGAATGAATGAATATGAATGAATGAGTATCTCATCACAAACATAAGGATGTGGGCTCCATTGTCTTGGGGTGTGTGGCAATGAGGGATTTGGAGACCAAATGATCCCTGTTCCTGCCACGGTCCCTGCCTGTTGTCCTTGTTGTGAAGTCTGGTCCCAAGAGAACCAGTGAGTCAGACTGGGTGTGAGGTGGGCTGGTCTGGGTCCGGGAGAGCAACCACACAGGCCCTACCTGCAGGCTCTTGGAGCTACAGTGTCCTGAGCACTTATTGTGTGCCAGGGCTTTATCCTGTAGTCACAAGGCAGGCGGGGTCCCACTTCACAGAGGAGGAAGCTGAGGCACAGAGGGATTCACAGTATGCCAGGGTCAGCAGTGAGTTGATGAAGGGCCCGCCTCTCCCACTCCCTCCTCAATGAGAAGCAAGAGGTGGCTCGCCCCCAGCCCAAGCTCTTCTGCTTCCAGAAGTCCAGGTTTCTGAGTTGTCCGATTTGTCCATCTTCCTTGCATCTTTTGGGAGCTTCGTGAGCATCCTTCTCCTGGGAATCTTTGGGTACCTCGGCTTGAACAGGTAACTTGCACCCCTTCCCCCGAGATGATCTGTAATAGTGATAGTAAGAATAGTAATAACTGCTCCCCCAAGTAGGTTTTTATGTCCACTTTCGAGATGAGGAAACTGAGGCCCAGATAGTCAGGCCCAGGTATCCAGCAGTGGCGACAGTGCTGGGATTTCAAGCCGGGTCTGTCAGTCTCCCATAACCCTGACCCCTTAGCTACATCCTCACTCCCCTTATTATAACCTAATGGAGATGAAAAAAATAAGTCAGAACAATTAAAAAGTAAGAACGAACAGAAGCGCTGACCAGTTCTCCTCCTTCCCCAGGGCTGTGAGGCACCTGTGCCCACCCCTGCCCACACCTTGTGCCAGCACTGCCGTCGAGTTCTCTGGCAGCCAGGGGAAGCAGGTAAGGGCCCCATTTCTAATTCCAGGTCTTGTTTATTGGGCCCATATCTGGACCAGGGCTCTGAAGAGTAATGGCCATGCATTAACTCATTTTACTTTCCCCCAACCCACTGGTGCAAGTACTCCAAAAGCCTGTCCAATTTTATAGACAGGCAAATAGAAACCCAAAGGGGAACCTTGTGTGGGCCATTTACTAGTAGCAGAAACAGAACTGAAGTGAGTTCCACAAAGGAACCTGATGGAAAAAAAAAATCCAGGGTGGTGGGCTTCAGGCATGGCTGGATCCAGGAGCTAGGACTCCATCTCTTTGTGGTGCTATCCTCCCTTCAGGCTTCTATCTCAGGCAGGCTCAGCCTTCCCCCTGTGGAAGCAGGGTATCCATTTTTCCCATTAACTGGAGCAGAATTCTCGGACATCACTGATTGGCCCAGCTTGGGTCATATGCCCATCCCTTAGCCTATCACTAGAACCAGGGGGTAGGAGTGTTCTGATTGGCTGGGCCAGGATCACATGCCAATGGCAAGAGCTGGTGTGGGGCCCCTGCCCTGTCCAACCACATCAACTAAGAGAGGAGAAGGGGCAATTTTCCAAAGAGAAATGGGGGGTCCTTCCAACTGATCCTTGAATTGGTCTCGGGTTTTAGAGAATTAAGCCAGAGGGGACCTGGTCCACTCCATCCTTGTGTGGATGAGAAATAGGGCCCTGCCCACAGCCTTGACCCCACCGTCCGTCTCCAGGTTTGGCAGTGGACCAGCCCGGCAGACTTCCCAGAGGAGGTGTCCCAGCAAGAGGCCCTGGTGGTGAACATATCCTGGGACAAAGGAGAGCGAACTGACGTGGACACAGCTGGGCTTCTCAAGGAGAAGATGGAGCTGCCTCTGGGTGCCCCTGAGCCAGCCCTGGACACGGAGCTGCCCTTGAAAGACAGGAAATGGGTGCAGGGATGCCCTGAGGCTGGGACTCTGGGGCCTGGCTGGAAGGACAGGCTGAAGGACAGCCCTGCCCAGGCAACTGGACTCCCGCTGCTCCTGGGAGACCTAAGGCAGACCCCCAAATTCCGTTCCCAGGGAGAAACAGAAACATCTGCCTCCTCTTACAGTTAGGAAGACCAATGATCGCAATCACGACAGTTGGTTATTAAGTGCTTATTGCATACCCAGCCTGTTCTTTCTAGGCACGTGATGCCCTGAATCCCCATAACCGCCCTGAGGTACATGGCTGTCTTATTAACCTATTTCAGTGAGCCTCAGTGAGGCTCAGAGAGGGCGAGTGGCTAGCCTGTGGCCACACAACACAGGCAGGAGTCTAACCCAGGCAGAGTGACTCAGACCCCATCCCCACTGCCCAGGCTCTGGCGTCAGTGTCCCCCACCAACACCCACTCTGCCCAGCACTGGTTGTCCTGTGGTGGGAACCCTACAAACCGCCATGAAACGGGAGCTGCTACCCAGGGCCAGGGCCTGGCATCCATGGAGCAAGGCGCTGTTGGCCTGTTGGGGGTGTGTGGGATAGACTGGAGGGGGGCCCAAACGGTTTCAGGCTGATCCCAGGGTCCTGGGCTGGGCATCCTGTCCCAGAAGCATTGGATGGGGAATCTGGGCACAGAGTTCCTGGCTGCATTGCAGGGTCTCCAGGCTTGGAGGATCTAGGTGTGAAGAAAAGAATGGGAGCTCTAAGCATTCTGAGGGGGGCATTGGCACCTCCCTGGCCTCAGACTCCTCCCCTATAAAATGGGGGTGAAAAAGTAAAATAAAATAAAAAATAAAATGGAAACGCGGCTGCTGCTTTCATTATGGCTCATTACAAAGCCGCCCATCAGTTATGGAGGTACTTGGAGAAATCGGGGGTGCTGGACACGCTGACCAAGGTATTGGTAGTCTTATATGAAGAACCAGAGAATCCTAATAGTGCTTTGGATTTTTTAAAACATTGCTTAGGAGCTGCTACCCCAGAAAGTCTAGAAATAGAGCTGCTTCGCCTAGAATTGGCAGAAATGGAAGAGAAGTATGAAACTGAAAACAAAGGAGAAAGTTCAGTAAACTTATGATGGAGAGGAAGAAAATACCCTACTATAAGCCACAACATCTTTGGGAAGATATAGATTATTGCATATCAAGTATTTGTGCAGTGCAGTTATGAATGGGATTTAAATTTTAGTTTCCCAGTAATTTTAAAGATTTATATAAAGAGTTTTCATTAGGTTTGATTGTATTAAATATTAAAAATCACTGAGTGGTTTAAAAAGATAGGACAGGGACTTCCCTGGTGGCGCAGTGGATAAGAATCCTCCTGCCAATGCAGGAGACACAGGTTTGATCCCTAGTGCGGGAAGATCCCACATGCCCCGGAGCAACTAAGTCCGTGTGCCACAACTACTGAGCGCACACGCCTAGAGCCCATGAGCCACAACTACTGAGCCCACGTGCCACAGCTACTGAAGCCCGCACGCATCAATGAAGACCCAATGCAGCCCAAAATAAATGAAATTAAATCTTAAAATAAAAGACTTTAGGGCTTCCCTGGTGGCGCAGTGGTTGAGAGTCCGCCTGCCGATGCAGGGGACACGGGTTCGTGTCCCGGTCCGGGAAGATCCCACATGCCGCGGAGCGGCTGGGCCCGTGAGCCATGGCCGCTGAGCCTGCGCGTCCGGGGCCTGTGCTCCGCAACGGGAGAGGCCACGACAGTGAGAGGCCCACGTACCGCAAAAAAAAAAAGGACTTTAATATAAACTTACTGACTCAGTAATTAAATTGAATGTAATAGTTAACTTGTTTTGTTGTTTAGTTTTTTACCCAATTTAGAATAAAATTCACCTAAACTCCAAAAATTAATTAATTAAATGGGGATGATAATAATGTTGACCTCACAGAGCTGCTGTCGGGGGGGG